CTGACTCTACCACACTCTATTAGCTGCGTGACTTTGGACCAGTTACTAAACGCCCCTATGTTTCTTTTTTTTTTAATTAAAGAGGGGATAAAAAACAGTTTATACCTCAAAAGCTTGTATTGAGGACCGAGTTAATACATGAAAATATCTTAGACTAGTATCTGGCACATAGTAAGTGCTCACTAAACATTAGCTGTTAACTGACCCAGTTGAAAAATCCTGCCACCATCTACTAAACAACTTTTTCAATTAAAAATGCCCATTTTAGCAATATGAAGTAAACATATGAAGTATACATATGGAGTATGAAGTATACACTTGGGTCTGTGCCAGATTCTCTGTGCTCCATCAATTATATATGAATACTATATTGTTTCATTATTATCTTTACAGCAAATTTTTTAATTTGGTGGTGCAAGTCCCTCTCCCTAATCTTCTTTTTCAAATTTTCTCAGTGATTATTTCCATACTATTTACCTATATAAACTTTAAAACAATATTATTCTGTAATATTCATCTATGAAAATTTAAACATTTTAAAAATAATTTTGGACAGAAGAACAGAACTAAGATACCAGCTTCACCCTGTCTGGAAAAGAACTAGTACCAAACGGTACAAAACTATTACCAAGAGTGGAGATCAAGTCTATCTACTTCTACTTGAAGGCACCCTCAACTTTTGGCATGGAATGCAAACTCCAGAAGTTGTTGGGGAAAGAAGAGCTATCCCATTCATTAATTCAAACCAATTCTGCTATTTTGCTATGCATTGCTACATTATGGAAATCCAAAATTTATACGCACAGGAGGACACACGGGCTAAACAAGTCACTTAGAGACAACTGCCATATCAAATTATCCTTAATCTGGAGAAGTGCTAGCTTCTCCCAACACCCTACCCATGGGGCACAACACAAGGCTTCTTACGTGTTTACTTTAAACTTTGTTTGGCATTCATGCTTTCTAGGATAAAATCGTTTATCTGGATTTGCAAAATCATTTCCTGTCGTTCCAAGATCAAGCACCATCTTGACTGTAAACACGGACTCTTCTGTCTGCCCGAGCAACTTAGAGGGCACCAATTCAGGTTTCCCTTCCGATTGTGACCAGGAAGAGGCCCAATAAATATTTCAAACATGAAAGGATTGTTATAACAAAGGGGTCTTAAAATCCTCCTGGGTTATCTGAACAGCTTTCCGTTTCATTTTGTTTTCACCTCTACCCCACTGAAATTGGAAGAGATTTTTTTCCCCTCAGGATGAAACAAAAGTTTATGCATAGAAAGGCTGAGATTAGAAAATAAAATGAAAAACAAAGGCAACAAAACTAAAGGTTTAGATATGAAGGGAGAAAGAAAGCTATGTGAAGATGATGATCTGACCACAGGCCAGCCTTGGTAATTCCCAATCAGGATGTACCTCCTGAGAGCAAACAATTCCTGCCTCAATGACAACTCCATGTATTTATGTCACAAACACAATCCCATCAAAGCAAGTATTACACACACCTTACTGTCACATGGCAAATGCTGCCTGGCTTCCAAGATAAGCTTTATGGAGAGTGAAGAGGAAGGGACAAGAGAAACAGGTGAGAAGCCTAGGGAAAACACTTCCCTTAATCCTTTGATGTCACCAAAGTGATCGGTGATGAAAGAAGCATCATTCTTACTCCTCCCCGCCACTTCCTTAGACTGAAACCGGAGGCCAAATATCATCCAACATGGTTCTCCCTTTAAGGAGATGACTTTCTAAGATCATCAAACCAAAACCCAAAGCAGAGGACAGTGGATGTGTTATCTGGGCGAGGTCGTAAGGCATTTCTCCAGCTTTATTTCTTCAAAGTTGCTCATAATGAGTGCCATTCTGAACCAAAAGACTTTATTTTCTTAATCTTCTCTAGATTAAAAAGGGGAAATGATAACCACCTTGATATGGTTACAGAAGCCTGACAGCCCAAGGTAATTGATGAGAGGTTTAACTTTACAAAAAGTATACGTTGACAATGGAGTGTTTAGCTCAATTAGAGATAACAATATCTGGCCTGATAGAAAAAAAATCACAGTATAACAAAAGCATCTGGACAATTAAATGAGTTGAAGATATATATATTGGTTGTTCTTGTTGTTTAGTTGCTCAGTCATGTCTGACTCCTTTATAGCCCCATGGACTATAGCTCACCAGGCTCCTCTGTGAATGGGATTCTCTAGGCAAGAATACTGGAGTGGATTGCCATTTCCTTCTCCAGGGGATCTTCCCAACCCAGGGTTAGAATCTGAGTCTTTTCTGTCTCCTGCATTGGCAGGTGTCTTCTTTACCAGTAGCACCACCTGGGAAGGCCAGAGATATATATATATTCAGTTCAGTTCAGTTGCTCAGTCCTGTCCAACTCTTTGCGACCCCATGGACTGCAGCATGCCAGGCTTCCCTGTCCATCACCAACTCCTGGAGCCTACTCAAACGTGTGCATGGTTGATGGCCATGGACAGTGGACATCATGTCCACCGTGTCAGTGATGCCATCCAACCATCTCATTCTCTATCATCCCCTTCTCCTCCCATCTTCAGTCTTTCCCAGCATCAGGGTCTTTTCTAATGAGTCGGTTCTTCGCATCAGGTGGCCAAAGTACTGGAGTTTCAGCTTCAGCATCAGTCTTTCCAATGAATGTTCAGGACTGATTTCCTTTAGGATTGACTGGTTTGATCTCCTTGCAGTCCAAGGGACCCTCAAGAGTCTTCTCCAACACCAAAGTTCAAAAGCATCAATTCTTCGGCACTCAGCTTTCTTTAGACTCCTACTCTCACATCCATACATGACTACTGGAAAAACCATAGCTTTGACTAGATAGACCTTTGTTGGTAAAGTAATGTCTCTGCTTTTTAATAAGCTGTTTAGGTTGGTCATAGCTTTTCTTCCAAAGAGCAAGCGTCTTTTAATTTCATGGCTGCAGTCACCATCTGCAGTGATTTTGGAGCCCAAGAAAATAAAGTTTCTCACTGTTTCCATTGTTTCCCCATCGTTTTTGCCATGAAGTGATGGGACCAGATGCCATGATCTTAGAAGAAATGGAGTAGCCCTCATAGTCAACAAAAGAGTCCAAAATGCAGTTCTTGGGTGCAATCTCAAAAAGACAGAATAATCTCTGTTCGTTTCCAAGGCAGACCATTCAATATCACAGTGATCCAAGGCTATGTCCCAACCAGTTATGCTGCAGAAGCTGAAGTTGAACAGTTCTATGAAGACCTATAAGACCTTCTAGAACTAACACCCCAAAAAGATGTCCTTTTCATTATAGGGGACTGGAATGCAAAAGTAGGAAGTCAAGAGCTACCTGGAGTGATAGGCAAATTTGACCTTGGAGTACGAAACAAAGCAGGTCAAAGGCTAACAGAGTTTTGCCAAGAGAACGCACTGGGCATAGCAAACACCCTCTTCCAACAACACAAGAGAAGACTCTACACATGGACATCACCAGATGGTCAACACCGAAATCAGATTGATTATATTCTTTGCTGCCAAAGATGGAGAAGCTCTATACAGTCAGCAAAAACAAGACTGGGAGCTGACTGTGGCTCGGATCATGAACTCCTTGTTGCCAAATTCAGATTTAAGAAATATATATATCACAAAATTATTTTAGGCTTAGTTCTGTGAAGGACCCTGAGGGGAGGGGCATAAGAAGTACATGATCTCTCTGCTCTAAGGACTGACCTTCCTGTTAGAATAATACTTAGGCAATAAAATGAAGTAATATGAGGCAATACATGATTACTCTTTTAAAACAATGCGGAAACAATACACACAATCAGACTTCCATCAGAGAGAAAACAGTTCTTTGGATTTGATCATCGCAATGAGATTATTATGTAGATCTCAAGCTACAGGCTCAGTCCTTTAAATTATAAATTATTCTAGTTAAAGTATACTTCTTTATCTTAAAATACAACGTTGGGCTTTCTTTCTCCTCCAAACTGTTATTTAGTTGTTTGGGGAAGGTTTTATTTTTCTTTCTCTCTAGAGTTTTCAAGTACATATTTAATATCTTTAACTTTATTCAACTATTTGAAAATAATCTAACCTGAAATAGCATCAATAATAAAATTTTATTCTCCCCCTTGAACAAAGTCAGTTTGAGCTGAACTGTGAAGCCTCACATTAAACCATTTAATAATGTTTAATTACAGTTCTAAATAAGGTTAAATTAGATATAGGAAATAACATGGAAACAAAGCCAATTATTCATCATTCTAACAGCCATTTTCTACAGAAAAAAATGGAAGGTCAACAAGCAATCATGGAGAAAATGAACTGAACAGTTGAAGATGACGTGGTAGTACTATATACCCAACCCTCCCAAAAGTCACTGACACAGTCGTAAAGAAGGCTCATGTTATTCAGACCAGCTGTCCACACTGATCAAATCCTACAGACAGCTCCTTACAACAGGAGTCATTCAATAAATATTTATGAAATTGAGCTGAATATTCAACTCTCCACTTTAAGCAGTTATACCCTAAATCATGAGATGAATCAGACAGCACATGCAGGAGTGCATTTGAAATTCATTTAATAATAGCTAAGGTTTACATAAACAATAGTTGATTATTACGAACTTTCACTCAGAAATTGCCTCACTTGCCCCTACAGAACCCTGTGAGGTGATTAAGAGGTCATTACAGCCTCACATTAATGAAGAAGAAACCTGAGTCTCAGGAAAGTTAAATGGCTGCTCACCTGAGGTCACCCCCATGTAAACGGTCTGGCTGGCACCGTCACCCGGGCTTGCTGAGCTGCAAAAGCTGCCCCGCCTGTGCCTATGTAACTCAATTCATCAGAAGCACACATACATGAAATGTTCTCAACCTTTCCAAATAACTGTCACCAACTGCTCTGTGGACAACTACCTCCACCCCCTTTCCCAGCTATGAAGTATGTCCTTTAATCACATCTCAGTCCAGTTCTCTAACGTCTCACCCCCTTTAAGTTAATGAAGTCTCATTTCGGCTAGCTCCCTTCCTTCCCAGAACAGGCAGTGAAGGGTAACCCAGGGTGTGGCGTTGGGGCACAGAAGGCAGCCCTGCCAATGCACGGCGGCGTGGCCAACCCCTCTCGTGGGCCAGCAGGGTGGCGGGCTGCTAGGGCCTTGTGGACGCCTCGATAGGAGGTGCCAAGGGCAAGTTCTGCCAGGGGGTGCCAGGCAGGGGTGTAAAGCCTGGTCTGATCTCGGCAGAGTGCCACTGCGGGCCAGGAAACGCACCTCTCCCACGTGGCTTTTGCGATGCCCAGGCAGCTGGGGGCCCAGGCTTGGAGGACTGGACCCTGTGGCCCTCGGAGATGAAAACTCCTCCACCGGCCTAGTCTCCCAGCCACCCCATCACTCCGCTTCTCCCAGGGCTCTTGCTTAAGTTCCCAGTCAGGACAGATGTCAGTCTTGCCTACTTTCAGACATCCATGAAATTCAGGTCAAAATCTTTTGAAGTCTAAGTGACTTCAGCACTCATCTCTGATCTTTATCCCCTGAACACCAGCGCTGCCAGGTAACCTCTGAGGGTAGAAAAGGACCTCAGGGAATGCCCCCACGCTGACCATATGCTAGTGTGTGTGGACATGGACGTTGGACGGAAGGAGAAGTGTTTACCTTTCTGCATTTATTGTTTCAGCTTCACTTCTAGGCTTCACCACGTGCATGGCACAAAACAGGCTCTCAACAAATTGTTTCAAAGCTAGATGAGTTTTGTAAAACCTGCTTTTAAAGAACTTGACATAATTGCATTCATTTTTTATACTCTACACTTTTATCCTTTCACTGTGGATTTGAAGTGACCTTTACAATAGTAAGTAAACTTTTGCAGCTCTTTAAGTTAAAAATAATTGCATCAGGTGTTATTAAAGTTAGCATAGTGTAAACCACAAGTTTCAGGATATGTATACAGTCTTACTCAAATGACAGTTATGAGCTGTTAAAACTTCATTGTAGTCAAAGTATCGTAAACTTTCATTCCCACAGCACTTACTGTGTCAGACTCTATTCTAAATGTTTCAGGAATGCTAACTCAGTTATAAGTGTCAAATCATGTCATCCTCAGAAGCTGTGGAGATAGACAACTTTATATCTCCATTTTACAGATGAGAAAACTGAGGCTAAAGACTCATGGCTAGAAAGAGCAAGATTTGACTCCAGGGGTTGTACCACTCTTAACCACCACCCAATATTGTTTCTCTGACTTTATGCTTCTGGAGAATACAAAACATCTCACTTTAATTTCTATCAGCTCTAGTCATAGAATTGCTAGCATTTATGAAAGCTTTACACTTTTGCAAAATTGCTGAGTAGGAGCTTTAAGAGTGTCATGTCACTTAACTTCAAAGTCTGCATCCCCCAAGCCTACCCACAAGCTAGATGCAACCCCACTTTACAAATGTGGAAACTGAATCTCTAAGATGTTAAATTCCTTGGCTAAGTTCATGATATTAGTAAGTGTCAAAGTGAGGCCACAAACCTATGTCAGCCGACACCAGATTCTGTGCTCTAAATCATGACACTTTGGGTTCTATTCAAAGTGAACTAAATTAGGTTTAAACACAACCCAACTCCCAGCCACCTGGAACTGTCATCTATGTTACTATCAAGTCAGTGGTTACAAACGGATGACTCTGCGTCCCAGGCCCTCTGGTGAAGCATATAAGATCCAACAGCACAGAGCCCATGCTGCATGTGCTCATGGCCCTCCAGTGGGGCTGAAGAGTGACAGTTTCCTTGAATTGTGCAAGCTAGTACTCAGGTCCTTCCCAGTCCACTTCACCCAGCTCTGCCAGCTGCCTGGCACCTGTAGGCATTTGAGTTCCCAATCCTTAATCTAGAGATGCTCAGGCCAGTACTGTCTCATGGTACTAGTGACCATTGCAAACTGCTGCAGAATATAAGCTGACTGGTTGGGAAAGACCTGATGCTGGGAAAGACTGAAGGCAAAAGGAGAAGAGGGCAGTAGAGGATGAGATGGTTAGGCGGCATCACGTGAATTTGAGCAAACTCCGGGAGAGGGTGGAGGACAGAGAAGCCTGGCATGCTACCGTCAGTGAGGTCACAAAGGTTGGGTATGACTTAGCGACTGAGCAACAACAAGCAGAATATGAAATACTTTCCTACCAATTGAGCATAGTTTCCTACTATATAAAGCAGACATTTGGAGTGAGGAAGTTCCAATTTCTGTGCCCCTTTGTCTTTAGGCCAACTCTTTACAATCCCACATCAAGAGTCTAGGAGATGGCTCCTGGAAACAGATGTGTGGCACTAACTCTGCTCTCTGGGGAAAAGTATTCCTCTAACATAGGGCTAAAGTCAACCTCCTTTTGCATGTGTGGGCTCAGCAGTCTTATTTCTCTCTCTGTAGACTGTCACCATACAGCTACATAAGCCTTCCAGGCCTTCTCTTTTCCTCAGAACTGGGAGGGGTAAGGCTATTCTGTACTGTCAGCATGATTCATGTGCTAACGTGGGGAGGTACTCATCTGAAAAGAGAAACTTGGCTTCCACAGAGCTCCAGATAAGACCTAGGATGTATTAAGCAAACACAAAAGAGGGAGAAGGGACACCTAGTCTCTGCAAAACAGAGATCCGCTAAGCGTGATAAGGCTGGACAGACAGGGGATTTCTAGACGAATGCTGGCTATCTGAACACCACGTGCCTGTCAGAAACAGATTTGGGGGCCAGAAAAAAATAATATGGTTCCTCCTCCTGACACATTTTGGAAACAAGCCAATAGGGAAACAGTCTCATCGTTGAGATATTTTCCTTTTTTCAATACCATGAAAATTAACAGAATATTCTGACACTTCATTTCTCTAGGCTATAAATTTGTATATGGGTAGTCTTCCTTTCCGGGTATAGCATCCTTAGAATTCAACTTATTACTGACTTGGACAACAACAGAAGACTTTTTGTTCATATAACAAACATCCAAGTAGTTCTGGCTTTAAGTGTGGCTGGATCCCGATACTCGTATGGTGTCATCAGGAATTAGTATCCGTCCATCCCTGGCTCTGCTCTCCTTTATGTTGGATGTCTTCTCTGGCAGGCTCTCCTTCCGTGGTAGCAAGATGACTTCCAGCAGCTCTGGGCGTGCATGCCGCCAGTTTAGCAATCCCAGCAGAGAGAAATGGTCTCTCTCCCAAGCATCTTAGCAAGAGGTCCAGGGCTGTCTCTGTTTGCTCTGGCATCAGTCAAGGGTCAACCTCAGCATTCATTACCGTGGCCGAGGGATGCAGTGTTCTCATTGGTTGGATCTGAGTTCCCACCAAAGCCAGAGGGTTGTGTCCTTTCCATCCAAACCATAAGAGCAGGGTCGGGGACATGTGATTTCTTTGAAGAAGGAGATGGACGCTCTGTAGAAAAAGTGCACTGGGCAGGCGGACCACAGATGGTCTCTATAACATTCAGGGCTTGGAGAAGCTTCATTAATTCATTTTTCTTCTGGTCCCTCTCTCAAATAGTGAGTTCCTTAGCTTCTTAGTCCAACCCACAAATAAACCAGAAAAGTAAAAATTATTATTTTCATTAGATCACTGCACCAAATATAATAAAATGAGAGCTAATATATCAACCAAAGAACTCTTTGCATAAGATTTCCTGGCTAGTCTTACAGACCCAAAAGTTATCTCCAGGTAATAATAAGCATCAAAACATTATTCACCCAAACTCCCACATATTAATTCTGAGGCTTCCACATTACTCATACAGAGCCAACTCTTTATTATTAAATGCATAGAATATGAGAAACCATGGATAAAACCCAAAGTCTTGTTTTAGCCAATAGCCTCAGCCTCTTTCCCAGATGGACCTTCACCCCAGCTGCAGGGAGCAACCGCACTGACTAATTTGACTTTCGCATCTGGTGGAACTGCTCCCACACATACCTAGATAAGTCATACACTCCTCGACACACTTCACAGAGTCTGATTAATTCCTATCAACTTACCCCCAATGCAAAAGGGGAGCACTTTATCATTTTGGCAAAAAGACTCAATTAACCGAGACTCAAAAAGCCAATAGTGAAAACCAAGTCCAAAGGGTGACATTTTAAACTGAATTCCTTCCTGCCCTACCCCCATCTCCTACATTCCCAACCCTCTTTCCTCCCATCCTCATAATAGAAAATCACTCCTTTCTCCTCTGGCATTAATTATTCCCTAAGTTTCTGTAACCACCAAAGCATAAACTGACCATCAGGGAGAGGCGGTAGATGAGAATGACAAAGGCAGAAGAGAGAACCTTGAGGCAGGGGGATGCAGAGGAGCCCAGTGGCCGGAGATGCTGCACTGGATGTGAACGTGATATTCCAGCGGAAGGCAACACAGAAGGGGTTGCCTGTGGAGTCCCACTTAGTGGTCAGTGTTATTTCACGTTAAGATTCTCCTTACTCCATTCACTCCAAGGGCCAGACAACCTTGCTTTAGTCATTTAGAAGCCTTCTCCATGCTCTCTTTTGGAAGCCTTTGTACATGAAGCCGATTTAATTGCTAACACACTGTCCCGTCTTGGTCCTGGTCTGTGCGGGGCCGCTGTCCCCCTGCTGATACTGACTCAGGCCTCCCGTGGGCCAGGCACAGTGTCAAATGCGGGGCATGAATTACTTGGTTTGATCCTCACAGTAATTCCACAGAATGGGACACTTTTGTTATCCCCATTTTCCAGATGAGGAAATTTTCTTAACTTGCCCAAGGTTAATCTATTAACAAGTGAGAGGGCAGTGACAATACACAAAAATGGAGAGAAGAAAGCAGAAACCTAGAAAATCTATGTATTGCATAATTGGTTGTTCCATGGTCAGACTGTGATTATATTTTTAAGTACAGCTATGATCCTCTTAGAATGTCCACTAAGCAAATACTTGATAAAATATTGTATGACTGTATTCTTTGATGTAAGGCTTATTAAAACATTAGGAATAAGTAAAACTATAGGGGGGATTAGATAAAGGTGGTCAAAAGGTAAAAACTCTGTTTTAAGATAAATAAATACTAGGGCTGTAATGTACAATGTAGTTAATATGATTAACACTGCTCTATATGACATATGGAAGTCTTAGGTGAGAAAATCCTCAAAGTTCTCATTATGAGGAAAAAAATTGTTTTTCTTATTCTTTTATTTTGTATCTATGAGGTGATGGATACTCACTAAACATGTAGTAATCATTTCATGATATATGTAAGTCAAATCATTATGCTGTACATCTTAAACTTATATAGTGCCATATGTCAGTTATATCTCAATAAAACTAGAAGGGTTTACCTGGTAGCTCAACGGTAAAGAATTCACCTGCCAATGCAGGAGACATAGGCTTGATCCCTGAGTTGGGAAGATCCCCTGGAGAAGGAAATGGCAACCCACTCCATCATTCTTGCCTCAGAAGTCCCATGGACAGAGGACCCTGGCGGGCT